GCCCTCTGCCCTCCCTCCCTGGGTCCTGCTGACTTCCCTCTCCAGGCTCAGGCTGCTGTTTTTTGGATTTCCAGAATACGGGCTGGCAGGCGGGATTCTTCTGTGTTCAGGTGCATCTGATTATTTGTTTCCCCTGATTCTTCCTTTCTAAATGCTGATGGCACCCACTTAGATTTGAGATTTCGTGGTATATGTTGTCCTGACTGTGAGGAACATACTGTCTATGGGTTTTTGGTTGCACTATCCTGGTGGAGGTTTAAGGGAGAATTCAGGTAGATTAAACACTACACAGTCTGTGTGACAATTTCACACATGTATATAATGTGCATTAGTCAAACCAGTCTAATGAGCATTTCCACCTTGGTAAATGTTTTCAGTTCTTTGTGTTGGGAACCTTTAAATTCTTCTCTTCTAGTTTTTCATATCCCATTATCCAATCTCCCTTTCTTCCCCCTCTTCCCTATGCTTCCCAGCCTCTGGTAACCACTATTATTCTATTTTTATGAGATCAACATTTTTAGCTTCCATATATGAGTGACAAGACAAGATATTGATCTTTCTATGCCAGATTTATTTTCCTTAATGTCCACCAGTTCCATCCATGTTGCTGCAAGCAAAGGATTTCATCCTTAAATTACTGGAATATTCTTACCCAGCTATCCCATTACCCATCTTAGCACGGGTTTCATATGACAACCAAAATGATTTTTCTGGTCATCTCATCCCTTTTGTTCATAAATCATCATTGCCTTCCCAATATTCTTAGACTAAAGCTCCAACTTTGTGACTTTGTGCAAGGGTCCTTGTATGCTATGGTACTGGTACTTGTTAAAGATGCCCAGTCTTGCCCCTCCCATCTCACACCAACTCCAGCCTCCTGGAAGGTCTTTCCATTCCTCCTGCCCTTGATACAGGCCTTCTCTCTCCAGTGTAACACATCAAACCTACCAAAGGCTCCCAGTTAACTAATCCTGAACTATTCCCACACTTAACTCTTGCTGCAGCCTTAACTTAAATGTTATCTTGTCTTCTCTTATTCGACTTACCTCCTCAGTCTCTAGCAGATATTCCCATGTGATCCCGTGACTCAGTTTCCCCTGCTAACTTAGAATTGATTGCATTGCTTTCTGGAAGGGCACATGTGCACAGGCAATCTCCAGGATGTGGCAGGTAATTACTGAAAATGACTCTGAGTCTCATCATTACTGAGAGTGATTTGGGTGACTAGTAAGGCAGTCAGTGCTTCTTGACAATAAACAAACGCTACTTTATGTAAATGACAATTGGTAGACCAGGATTCTGTCATCCTACTGGATGTTACTTACATCTGATAATGTATGAGCTAGTTCTCATTGACACCAAGCCAAGAATTCGGTTTTCACAGTAGAAATCCCAGGCAGGGTGCACAATAAGGCAGATTGAGCCCTGCC